GAATCACTTTCTGAGTTGATTTATGCATGTCAGTCCGTCTGTCCGTCCGTCCGTCCGTCCGTCTGTCCATGTATTCTTTTGAACAAAATGCAGGTCGCATTTATTATCCGATTAAGATGAAATTTTGCAAACAACATTTGTTAGGTTAGGACGAACTCTATTGAAATTGGAGATAATCGGTAAAAATTTAGATATAGCTCCCATATATATCTTCGTCCGATTTGCCTTTTATTGTGCACCAAACGTGTAATATTAGCCCGAATAGTACGGAATTTTGCACATACAACCAAATTAGGCCTGAAAATAAGTATGCATCGAAATCGGGTCAGATATAGCTATAGCTCCCATATATATTGTTCATCCGATTTGTTATTTTTGTCCTCCGCAGCCGTAATATGCACTCTGTAACAACCACATTTGGGGAAATATATCAAATGCAGCTCAGAAATACCTTTACTAAATTTTATCGAGATCGGTTCAGATTTGGATATAGCTCCCATATATAACTTCGTCCGTTTTACCTTTTATTGTGCACCAAACGTCTAATATTTGTCCAAATGGGATGGAATTTGGCACATACGACCGAATTTAGTCTAGAAGGTAGTATGCCAAATTTGGTGAAGATCGGTTCAGATATAGTTATAGCTCCCATATATATTGTTCATCCGATTTGTAGTATTTGTTACCCACAGCCGTAATATGCACTCCGTAACAACGATATTCAGGGAAATATATCAAATACACCTCAGAAATATCTTTGCCAAATTTTATCGAGATCGGTTCAGATTTGGATATTGTTCCCATATATATTTTTATCCGATTTCAAATTAATTTCGTACCAAATGGGCAATACAAGTCCGAATTTAAAAGATACAAATGCTTCGGCATATTTAGTCCTTTGAATTTTAAATTATAATTATAATCATAGCGTGTATGTTTGAATTCTCCCATAAAAACTTTTAATTATTAAGTGGAGCTCAACTCTATTAGCAAAGTGGTGTAGGGTATCATAAAATCGGCCCCGCCCGACTTTAGGACTTTCTTTACTGGTTTTTTGTCTGGGATATTCTCCCCAGGAGTTATTCTAAAAATAACTCTTGTGAATAAAAATGCCAACACTGTTCGATTTATTTCTGAGCTACAGTATATTTAGAGCTGCAAATGTGGTTTTTGGAAAAAATCCGGACCTTACATAGATCTTGAGAAATATATTTAAAAAATCCAGAACTTTCATAGATCTTAAGTAATATTAAAAAAAAAAATCCCACGACATTGACGGATCATAAAAAAATATTTTAAGACTAGCAAGTGACCACTTCTTTGTTTTATTTTGAATTTCCAAATACCTATATATATCAGACGCCTCTGATATATATAGGACATTCGGGTCAGTCCTCCAAGAAAAAATTATTTTCCTAAATTTGAAAAAAAAAAAAAACAGAAAGGAAAGGCACAAAGTATACCGGGCCGACTTTATGATATCCTACACCAATTTGTATATGTAGTAGAGCTACCCATAACGAAAACCGTTATTATAGGGAATTTGTGATCGCTTTTGAATGCGTATTATGTATTATGGCTTTGAAGCGCATACATATAATTTAAAGTTGAAAGGAACTACTATATGGTGGTATATCCTCCACTTAATCGATTTCCACTTAATTTGATGGATTAAACTCATATTCAAAAAATCCTTCTTATTTGAGCTGATATGACACTTTTTAGGCACAATAAACGTGAAATCGAAAGAAGATGTATATGGGAGCGTTATCCAAATCTGAACAGATATATATAAAAATTAGCAGAGTTATTTCTATCTCGTATCTGATAGAGGGGATCAAATATATGAGCTATATTTCCCCGAATATCGCTGTTACGGAGTGCAAAAATAACAAGGACAAAACAACAAATTGGATGAGCAATATATATATGGGAGCTATAGCTATACATGAACCGATTTCCAAATTTGACATACTCGCTAGTAGGCTCAATCTGGTCGTGTGTGCGAAATTCCATCCGATTTCGGACAAAGATATACATGGGAGGAACATATAATTTATGACCGATTATTTAATTCGTGTAAAATTTCATCTCGATCGGACAATAAATGCGACCTGCATTTGTTCACATAAATATATGGACAGACGGACGAATGGACATACATGAATCGATTCAGAATGTGATTATATGCAGATCATTAAAAGAAACCATAAATCTATTTGGATTCCCTCTCCATGTTACAAACAAAAGCACAAAGACATAATACTCTGATCACAGGGTGGTGGTGGTCAAAAAATATATATTTAATTTATATTAAATACATTAAACCCCTCGAATGAATAAATGTATTTCTAAGGAATTATGTATAATTCAATTAGAATAAAATAAATCCAATGATGGTGTAAAGCTTACTGACCCAACGTTGGCCATAAACGTGGATATATGTGTCTGTAATATCTCTTGGTTTTATTACACCCATGCGACATTAATTGTTATGAAAAAACAAGTAAAAAAGCTGTAAGTTCGGCCGGGCCAAACTTTTAATACCCTCCACCATTTGGTACAAATTTGGCAATTTCCAAAAAAAAAAAAAAAATTATAAAATCCGTTTAAAATTCTGTTAAAATCTTAAAAATACCGAATACCTATAAGACGACGTGGACCTGCATAGGCAACTTTTGTCATAAGTTATTACAATATTGAAATGCGAAGCTTGAAGAAAAATCTGTTTATAATGTAGCTAAAATCATCAAAATACCGAATATAGGGGGTACCGTTATATGGGGGCTATACGAAGACGTGGACCTGCACAGACAATTATCAGGCAAGAGCTGTAGTATTTATTACGAAATTCAAGTACCAAATTTGAAATAGTTCCGGTAAATATTTTTGCTAAAATCATCAAAATACCGAATATCGGGGGGTACCGTTATATGGGGCCTATATGAAGACGTGGACCTAGATGGCTCATTTTTTGACTTAAGATGTAGTATCCATTACGAACTTCAAATACCAAATTTAAAACGATTCCGGTAAATAATGTCGCTAAAATCATCAAAATACCGAATATCGGGGGTACCGTTATATGGGGGCTATATGATAACTTGGACCTACATGACCCATTACGAACTTAACCTGCCTATTGGCAAAATATACATGTGTGCAAAATGTTAGCCTTCTATCTCAATTTGTTCGAAAGATAGCATGATTACAACAGACAGACAGACAGACAGACGGACATCAGTTTTTGGTCCATTTCAACCCCTAAATATTATGCAATCATCTCCAAAAGAAATAGGGTTATATTCTGACATTAACCCCACCTCCATTTTCAATTTCGTGAAGATCGAGCCATAATTGCGACCTGTAGAGTGATTATAAATTAACATGGACAGACGGACAGACATATGGACGGACATACATAGCTAGATCGACTCAGCTAGGCGAGATAGGAAGATCCATATATATACTTTTCTATGTGTTACATAATTTTTGGCCCAATCAAACTTATAATACCCCCAACACATAGTGTTGTAGGGTATAAATAGCATCAAATTTTAGAATAATTTTAGATTTGTTTGAATTGGTCACGTTTGGCATGTATTATGGCCTTTAAACGGTCAATGAAACCGTCACAGGCTGCCCGAATGTTGCTCTGCGGTATTTTGGCCCATTTTCGGCGAAGCGCTTGCGTGATCGACACTTTGGTATTTTTTTGTACCAACCTTGCTTTCCAAAATACTCCAGTCAGAATAGTCCATGCGAAGATTTTGGTGGCCATTGTGCGCTGGAAATGAAGCGAAGAACCTCATTTTGGAACCATTCTTGGTTGGCGCATGCTAAATGCGATGGTGCAAGGTCTGCGGCTACAATGTGTGCGTGCCTCAAGGCACCCTCCAGAATATTTTCGCTTTAATATTCGGCATTTATTCTGATGTCACGGTCGCTTAATACGAGCGGAGAGAGAGAGGCTATTATGGCGGCCCACACCATCACCATGGCCGGCGCTTGAGTTCTGATGGCCAACCGAAGGTGCACATTTTCAGCTGATCTCTTTGGTAAACACGATCATTTTATTTGTTAAAAAACTGCTGGACAAAGAATGTTTTCTCATCGGAGATCGGAGAAAACCAAATTCGGCAGTTCACCACTTTCGGCCAAGCGAAGCAACTCTTTAGCTCTTTTGAGTCTATTTTCTTTCCGTTGCGGTTTAAATTCTTGCACTTTTTGGACTTTCAATGGCTTTACCCCGAGCTCATTTTTCAATATATGCCGAATGGAATACTGCGATATGTTCAGCTCAAGAGCCATTTTTCAGCCACTGCGACGCGGGTTTATTTTTCAATATTTGCCGAATGGAATGTTGCGATATGTTCAGCTCACGAGCCATTTTTCAGCCACTGCGACGCGGGTTTCGATCAAGTCGCTTCTTTACTTTTCGAACCATTTCTGCTGATGTTGCTGTTTTCTTCCGTCCACTTTCTTGACGTCGGGCTACGCTACCAGTATCCCGATTACGAGCGATGGTACGATACAAAAAAGATTTATTCACATTTAATTGCTGAAGTGCTCTAACGATAGCCACTTGTTGTTTTTTTTTCTGGAAAAGTCTCACCAAAATGCTTTTATACGCATGTAAACAATATAATGAGCTGTCACTGGAAGAATTTTAACAGCTTTCGAACGAGTGGTTTAGAAATGACAGCAGTCTGAAGTTGGTTGCAGTTTTTTCATCTCACCCTGTACTTTATTTTATTATTTTTTTTTATTTTATTTATTTATTTATCATTATTTATTTATAAATAAATTTATTTTTTTTGTTTTTTTTGTTGAAGAAAAAAATTATTTTTTCCTCTTAGATAGGTGATCGAATGTTTCACAAATCAATTCAAGTAAGTAAAACATCTTTTAAAATTTTATAAGCATTAATCAGCACAAAGTAATATTCATTTCGTTCTTATATTTGATTTAATATATATAGGGATATAACTTTATTTTTGTTAATCCAAAAAGGAGTTCAAAAGGGTAAAGTATGACATTGAAGTAGATAGAATCTGCAATGAGGAAAAACACTCACAAATTTTAGTAAATTATTTAAAACCAAACAAAGTGCATGAATTACTTACCCTGGTAAAACTTTCCAATGAGGACACCGTAAACTTCATGGCAGTCAAATGTGCAGGACGTTGGCTACGCATAATCATTAATTTTAATTTCATTCTAAAGTCCCGATTTGTTGGATAATATTGCAAGGTTCTCCATGCCGGTAACTTCGTATTCAATGAATCTAAAGTGATATAATCCACTTGCCGTAGCAACGGTGAGTGTTGCGATAATATCCCACCCTCCCAATTACAAGAGAATAAATAATTTGCTGTATCCGTCGACTGCAAAAATATTAAAGTTTATTGTAGTGAAATAATTAAAATTTTATTATTTTATCAATAATAAAAGACGCATTCAGCTTGAATTTACCCGAGTAATCAGTATGGTTCCAAGTTCGCACATTACATACAATTGTCCCGTCACCGAGAAGAAGAACAGGAAGAAACGTAAAAAGTCACTCAATGAATTGCGACCTGCCTGTTTTTTTGGTTAAGTGGCCGTACATATATCACAAAGAGAGAGAGAGAGAGAGAGAGAGAGATGAAAAAGAAGAAATGTGAATACAGTGTAAATTAATTTTAAAGATATACATTTCAAATGAAATAATAAAAGGTACGGTACGGACTACATTGCAGTCTGAGAGTCGTAAAGAGGTCCATTGAAACTAAATATTTAAAAATCTGTAGGAAAACAGTTAAAGATGCTGATGTTATGGAAAAATATTGTTAAAGCCTTAAGTCTTAAGCCTTAAGAAAAATATTGTTAAAGCCTTAAGTCCAATATTAACGCTCGAAAGGTGAGAAAACATAGAACATGTTTTTTACTGGCTTAAGTCATCGGCTGACTTCTTCGTAACAAAACAAAGGAGCGTAAAATGAACAAGTTTAAATTATTAGTCGAAATTGAACTAAGGTAATCAAAAGCTCCTTTTTTACTTTTACGAAAAAAACCTTCTATGTACTTGCAGATTTCAAAACATAACTAATACTACCATAGTATTCTCACAGAAAAATCGTCATTGTTACATAACGCTTGGGTCATGAACGAAAAGGACAAGTCTTTCCAGTATCTCTCGAACTTCTAGAATTCTTCCCTATTCTTAACTCTCTTCAATTGTGTGAGCAGTAAATTTTTTCTGTTTTTGGTTCATTTGAACCCCTAAATATGTTGCGATCAACTCCAAAATCAAGAGGCCCCTCTGTATCACCACATTTAAACTCATCTATATGATTTGCTTGTCTACGATATTTGGCTTTATTCATCAACGAAAAAAAAGAATAAAAAAGCCAGAATTTCGCCTTTTGTGTATTTCGGATATCGCCTGTATTTAATGTTGGTATTTTTATACACAAAAGTAGTGGTCCATTCTACCAGCTGGCCAAACTCTAACTTCATACGAGATTTCCTGTTTATTGGCTTCTATTTGTAACTTATATAACGGCTGCAAAATCTGAGGAACATTTTTAGTTGTTGGTCCATTTCAACCCCTAAATATATCGCGGACATCTTTCATTTCGCATTTTTCGTGAGGATAATTTCAATCTATATATAATAACCCCAACCTGTGTTGTAAGGTGAAAAATATTACAAAATATACACTTCAATATTATAAGTCAAATTGGAATTATCGGAAGCGATAAAAAATATGAAAAATTAAAAAAAAAATCACAAAGTATTAATAAATTTATATTAACATCATTATTAGCATCTATTATGCGATTTTTTAGATTTTATACTTTTATGTTAATAGGGCATTCTGAATTGATAAAATTTGTTGAAATCGGTGTAGCCATTCATGAGATCGTCATTTCGCCGGAATTAAAAATATTCGCGGTTTAATAGAAAATTTGACTTTATACCCACTAAATATTATCCGACGACCATCAAAATTGGAAGGCTTCTGCCCAGTCCTAATCTCTATCCCCATGCTAACTTCCGCGTCGATTGGTCTATAATTCCGACCTGTAGAGCAACTGCAAAATCAGGAATTTTTTCAGTTTTTGGTCCATTTCAACCTAAATATTATGCGATCATCTACAAAAGCAATAGGGTTCTATTCTGGCCCTACCCCCACCTCCATTCTAAATTTCGTGAAGATCGGGCCATAATTGTGACCTGACCTGATAACAAATTAACATGGACAGACGGACATACATAGCTAGATCGACTCAGCTCGACAAGATAAGAAGATCCATATATACTTTCCTATGTGGGAAACCAATATTTCGAGGTCTTACATAATTTTTGGCCCAATCAAACTTATTATACTCCCAACACATAGTGTTGTAGGGTATAAATATTAAAATTTTTATTGGCATATCTAAAATTTTATAATTCTGTGGCAGGAGACCGTTCCGAATTGATGAGAATTGTGAAAATCAGTCCATCGGTTTTTGACTTATAAGCGGAATAACTAAGATCAATTAATTTTACATATATATTGTATATATTTTGCTACATATCCGATATCTTGGCTATCAGCATCACCCTAATGGTTACCTTTTAGTGTATTTTTGATTTCGCCGGGTTTAAAAATATTCGCGTTTAGTGGATATTCTCGTATTTTTGGACATAAAAGTTATAGTTTATAATGTTGTCCTTCCAAATTGGAAGTCTTCTGCCCAACTCTAACGCCATGCAAAAATTTGCGTCGATTGATTTTTTCTGTTTTTGGTCCATTTCAACCCCTAAATATTTTGCTATCATCTCTAAAAACAATAGGCCTCTATTCTCACCCTATCCCCCCACCTCCATTTTCAATTTCGTGAGAATAATTGCACCTGTCGCGTGATTACAAAATGTACAGCTCGACGAGATAGGAGGGTCGATATATATATTTCCTATGTGGGAAACCAATATTTCGATGTGTTACATGATAGTGTTACAAGGTATAAAAATTATATAGTCTATATTTTTTTATAGAAGATTATGTTCTTTGATGGTAACTAAAAAATATAAAAAAATATAAATATCAAGCATATATTTATACTTTTACGATTGTAGTCTATAATAGAATGGTATAGAGGGTATAGAATCTAATCTACGATTATAGTCTACAATAGAATAGTGGAGGGTATAAAAAATATTTAAACAACCAAAAAAGCAGTAAGTTCGTCAAGGCCGAACTTTGAATACCTTCCACCATTTGGGACGAATAAGGCAATTTTTAAAAAAAATCTATTGAAAATTCTGTTAAAATCCAAAAAATACCGAGTATCGGCAGGTGCCGACATATGGGAGATATACGATATTGTGGACCTATATAGACAATTCTCTTCCAGGGGGGGAAAGTACTCACACGAAACTCCTTGTTTGAGTATCGCAGCTGCCTTGTTTGAATTTTCAGACAATTCAGTTGAAAAATGTGGCAAAAATCATCACAATACCCAAAACCGGAGGATACCGTTGTATGCGGAATATACAATATAGTAGACCTATATATATAATTCTCTTCCACGGGATAAACTACTCACAAGGGAGTTCCTTGTGGGTAGTTTAGTAGTTTATTGTGTGGATTTTCCATCTTCGAACTTGACCTGCCTGCAGACAAAAGACAGATCTGTGCAAAATTCCTATTCCTATCTTAATTCGTTTTTTTACCTCTAATATGTTTGGCATTAAAAATGGGACATAACGGTCCACGTTTCGGTAAGGCACCCATATAGCGTTACTTCCTGATTTTTGGTATTTTTAAGGTTTCGGCCGCAATTTCAAACCCATCTTGACTTTTTGAGTTCTGAGCGGACAAAATCACTCCCTGCTAAAATTTGTAAAGATAAATCCACAATTAGTATTGACCATATATAACGGCACTTCCAAATTTTAGGATGGGTGGATGAAAAAATTACAAAAATTGTATATATAAATCCACAATTTGAGTAAACCCAGAAAAAATAATTTGCCCTTTGTAAAACCTTCTAAAATCTGAGGACAAAAAGACTACATATTTTTATGAGAAAGGAATAATTATAAAAAAATGTGTATACAAAATTGGCTGGCAATTAAACCTTACTATCTGAAATAGACTAAAACCTTATTAATATATTTAGAAAAAATATATGTGACTGACATTTAAAAATCCCTTAAATCTCTCTCATTGGCTTAAATTCGATCATCAGTCAAAATGGAGTGTGAAGCAAGTAACCTCGCCACTGATTTTTTAAAGAGACTGAACTATTTTTATACATACTTTAGAATTCCAGCTAATAACAGGATAAAAACATAAGAGAAATTTATTAAATAAAGAGCAAAAAAATAAAAAAACAAATAAAACATAGAACTAGATCAAAGTACATTCAGCGCAGAATCAGTTGACTATTTTCACTATTTTATAAATTAAACAAAAACGGCAAGAAACGGCATGAGTTTTTTGTTGATTATGAAATTTAACATTCCATACTAAAATACAAAATTAAAATTTTAAGACCTACTCGATATTATTTTTTAAAAACTATATGTACTTCTCGGATATGGCGAAAATATGGTAATATTTTGAATTAATTTTTAAAATATTTTGATATCATTATTTTTATAACGTTTTTATTCAAAAACACTGATAACAACCTGTATTCGATGTTTCAATTTTAAAATGATCACTTAAATTAAAAAACTAAACAAGGTATGACTTTAAAATTTTCGGTACTGATGTAGAATTTAGTGTTCTATAATGGTTTAAAAACATTTATTCCGAAAGACGAATTTTATTTTTCAATTAATCTCCATGATTTGTGATAGAAGAATATAGTCCTTGATAGTCACTTAAAAATATTTTAAAAAGTAGTTTTTAATATTTACAACATCATGTTTATGGTCTTTGTTAGAAATTAAGTATTTGGTACGAATATTGAAATTTAAGCCGTTTAAGGTTATTTTAAATCTTGAAAATACCGATTATTGTGAGTTTATGTTTTATTGGGGTCGTGACCTGCATAGGTAATTTTTGTCATGGCCGTAAAAATATTCCAATATTTACAGTTGTAATACACAATACGAAACTTCGTTACGAAAATTAAAACAATGTGGGTAAAATCATCAAAATAGCGAATATAGGGACCTACACAGCCCATTTTCAATACCAAAAGTCCTGCAGACCAAACACACATTTGAGTAATTTTATCTAATATAATAATACAATTAGACGGACGGACTGTTATAGTATACTTTGTGGAGTCTAAAATTTGTGTTTCGAGGTATTACAAACGGAATGACAAACTTAGTATACCCTCTATACTAAGGTGGAGGGCATAAAAATAAATGAATATATTCTAAAGACCATGTCTATTGTCGCTGAAGGTCACTAAAAATATCTCGAAAAAATTATTGGCAAATTTCTCAATAAAAGTCGTTTATTGTCCCCACACATTTTTAAAACAATCCAAAATTTTAGTAACTGGTGGTCCTAAATATTATTTAAAAATCACTATTATTGTCGTTGATAGTCACCAAAAAAATATAATTTTAAAAATGTATAATCAAATATGTCAAAAATTCACGATTATAGTCGCAATTGTCCCTACCTTTTTGAAAAGTGCAAGAATATGGTAGCTAATAGTCCTGAAAATATAAAAAAATACAAACGAACAACTTACAACTCCTTTCAAATTTTCACAAAAAAAAATCTCAATTATAATGGCAAATAGTCCATAATTAAATTTGTTAAAGAATCCATGAGAATAGTTGGTAGTGACTGAGAATTTTTCTTTTCTTGTATTCCCTATGAAGTTTCCCTGGAAAATCTACAATTAAGATACACTATCTCTGATCGTTTCTGAAAAAACGATTTTTATACTCACCACGATAAACTGAAACAAATTGGTGCATATTTGAAATGTTGAGGTCACCACATTCACCATAAGTTGAAATGAAAACAACTTTTCTAAATCCATAGAAAATCTTAAAGAAAAATGAAACAATTTTTAAAATTTATCCCATTTCCAGTAATTCCAACTAACCTGATAAGTTCATCATGAGCTGTGGCCAATTCATGTAATCGTTTAACATATAGGTTATGTAAAAAAATAAAATCATTCTTCTTTGATCCTGTAGATTCTCCTCGATAGTTGGCTAAAAATTCAGCATGACACTCAGGTATTAGACGTGCAATATTTCCATGTAATATTTCAAATTGTCCACATAGGAAGCTAATGAAAATCGCTAATATGGCATCAGTGGCATAAAATAGGGTCACTGTGATCGCTCCAGTATATATCGATGTCATGTATGTGAGTATGTAATTTATTGGTTTTTGTGGATCATATGGAAATATCATGGGATATGGAAAGGTTTTATCATTTGAATGGATGGTTTGATCTGTTGTTATCAACACGAAAATGGGTAGAGCACAGTAGATGAACAATACCATCCACAATGTTATTGACAGATAAAATGTTGGTACTGTCCGCTTGATGCAGCGTTTAAAAATTAGCGGATGTGTTACTCTGAAAAATAAAAAAATGAAATTACAAAAAAAAAAAAAATGATTTAAAATTCATACTTATTTATCCAAATTTTATTGGTAAATTTTTCTAAAACATGTTTGAATTTTGAAAATCTGCAACGTAGATATATCATCCGTATAAGCACGTTTATACCAATGGTCGATGTGCTGATGGCTTCCACAACTTTCTTAACATCGGAAAAATTTGCCACTATATACACCCAACCGACACAGACGATGTAAAACAAACACACGACCCCGAAAATAAACCAAAGCTGATACAAGAACTTTAGAAGCCTGTTCCACATGCCATTTGTATTATTGGCATTATCCTCCATTGGCCAACAGCCATTTATCATTAAGAAAGTACGAACTTTAAGGGGCAACACGAAATTCACATCTTCGGCACAGCGAGGTTTATACAGTATGGCCATTTTTATTTGACTAATGAAAATGTGGTCTTTGCCATCCACACACAATGTTTGTTTATCACATTTTTTTTTTAATAATTTGACAGGTGTGTTGTGATAGATTTTCGTCTAGACACAACATTCCGACAATTCATTCAAAATTAAAAATTACATACTTTAATTCATACTTTTTAAAACAAAACTTTATTGCATGCAATCCAATAATTCACTAATATTTTCTGTCAATACTCCTTCACCTACTGGTTGATAAAATGCGTTATTACAAATATTGAAAATTTTAGTTCATTATGGCTACTGAGGACATGTATAGCCCACGAAATAACAATTTTAGACAGCAGATCTGGAAACTATAATCTTGATATTTTGCACGAGGGCTAGTCATGGTGCGTAAACGTGTGATAAGGCTGGGTTTTTGGAAATTCGTACTCAAAGAGTACGAAAAGTACTAACATGCACTAAAAAAATCTATACTTTACATCGAACAAACGGAATGAGCTAGAATACTGGAAGGTGGTTTTGGAAAATGTGTACTAAGTGTGCGAACTGTACTAAATTTGGAACAATTTGGTTTAGGGTGAACGGATGAAGCTGAAATGTTGACATTTACTATTGGGGTCCCTGTTGTTGATAGGTTTGTGATAAAGAGGTGATAGTTCTGAAAATGGGTGCTACAAGTGCACGAAAAGTACTAAATAGTCTTGGGTGAAAAGATATTGCTTGAAATCTAAAACCTGGTATTAGAGCCGCTGTTCATGTGTGGCCTGGACAACTAATCGTGGTTTCGGAAATGCGTACAATAATTGGTCGAAAAGTACTAATACAGGGTGAGATAAAAAAACTGCAACAAAGTCAAACGCCACGATTTTTACTTTTTTTTAATTTATTTGAAAAAAGCAAAAATTTTCGGAAATAGCATCAAATTTTAGAATAAATTCAGATTTGTTCGTATTGGTCACCTTTGGCACGAATTATGGCCTTCAAAAGGCCAATGAAACCGTCACACGCTGCCCGAATGTTGCTCTGCGTTATTTTGGCTTATTCCCGGATCGACACTATGGTATTTTTTAGTGCCAACCTTGCTTTCCAAAATATTCCAGACACAATAGTCCAACGGATTTGTATCAGCAAGTATAAAGAAATCACACTATCACGCTTGAATTCCTTCACGAATAAAATTTCTGGAAAATTCTCACCAAAATATTCTCACCAAAATATAATGAGCTGTCACTGGAATATTTTTAACAGCTGTCGGACGAGTGGCTTACAAATGAACGGCACTCTAAAGTTTGTTGCAGTTTTTTCATCTCACCCTGTATATCTGAAATCGGGAGCTATACCCAAATCTCAGCCGATCTCAATACAATTTGGCAAAGGTATTTTCGAACTGCATCTGAAGTCCGGTATCAAATATCATTGTTGTGGGGTGCATATTACGAATGTAGGGGACTTAAATACCAAATCGGATGAAACATATATATGAAAGCTATAGAACCGATTTTCAGAAATCGATTAGCCATAAGGTGTACAATAAACGTGAAATCGGTCGAAGATATATATGGGAGCCAAATCGGAATCTGAACCGATCTTGATAAAATTTAATACAGGTATTGTTGGACTGTATCTGTTATCTAGTACTAAATATCATTCTTGTGGAGTGAGAGACTTAAACGAATGTGAGGGACTTAAACACAAAATCAGATGAAACATATATATGTGAGCTATAGCTATATCTACACCGATTTTGGTGTACTTGCTTCTAGAATTAATTCGGTCTGATGTGCCAAAATACAGGTCACTACAATATTCAAATGCGAATCTTGAAGGAAACAAGTAAAACAAGTAAGCAAAGGCTACAGTCGAGCGGGGCCGACCGTTGAATACCCTACAACACTACAATAAACGATACAGTTTATATAGGCGAGATACTCGAAAGAATTCCAAAAGATATTGTGACAAATAATAAAAGAAAACCATCAGGTTTCATTCTCTAATTTTCGAATAATAGCAACTTAAACTAATTTGCTAATTTCCAATTTATTGGTAGATGTTGCACGTAAATGGTCTTCCTAGATCTGGAACCAATATTTCCCAAAGACCTATAATCTCTCAGAGGTGGCAAAAGATTAACATTTATTATTGGTTTTTGACCGAAACGCATCTATATGAGATACAGACATTTGACTATATTCTTCAACGAAATCAGGGTTAACGAAATATTCAGAATTGTGTCTTTCCTGCATTTGTGAATTCTCCAAAAAGTCACTGGAATGGACATTTTCGTATTTTGTCTACAAAAGTTGGCAAACTATTTCACACATTGAATATTTTTGGATGGCCATCCAAAACTGCTTGGCTTTTTGCAATGCCCGTAACCCCCATTCAAATGTGCGTGATTATCGGGCAATAATTACGACCTGCTGACAATTTTGCAGTTTTTTTTTTGTCCATTTCAACCCCTAAATATATAGCGATTATCTCCAAAAAGAGTAGGCTTCTATTCTGACTCTCATCTTATCCCCATGCAAAATTTCATAAGGATCGGGCCATTAATGCGATCTGTATATGATATCCTGATATCCTAACTACTTAGTTTTGTTAGCTGTAGAAATATTACCAAATGTTTAATTCAAAATGAAAATATGCCAAAAATATGACAAAATTGAAAAAATATGAGAAAATATTACAAAATCAATATTTTCATCTTTAGAGAGATATTTTTATGCAATTTTTTAGACGTTTTTTTCTTTTCTGCCAAGAGGCCATTTTGAATTTATGAGAACTGTCGAAATCAGTTCAGCCGTTCTCGACATATAACAGATCTTTCAAGCATATCTTCTTTGATAGACATATATATCGCACATATTTTGCTATATATCCGATTTGATGGATGTTGACATCAATGTAAAGATCAGAAGTAACCTTGTCATGGCTTTTGATTTCGCCGGGATTTAAAATATTCACGGTTTAATGAAAAATGTTGAATTTTTCAACACAAAAGATATGGTCTATTTTACCCGATAAATATTATCCGATGACCACCCAAATTGGTAGGCTTCTTCCCCGCCCTAAACTCTAGCCACATGCGGAATTCCGCGTCGATTGGTCTATAATTGCGACCTGTAGAGCAACTGCAAAATCAGGAATTTTTTCAGTATTTGGTCCATTTTAACCCCTAAACATTTGGCTATCATCTCCAAAAGAAATAGGGTTCTATTCTGACCTTAACCCCACCTACATTCTAAATTTCGTGAAGATCGGGCCATAATTGCGACCTGTAGAGTGATTACAAATTAACATGGACAGACGGACAGACGGACGGACGGACATACATAGCTAGATCGACTCAGCTCGGCGAGCTAGGAAGATCCATATATACTTTCCTATATGGGAAACCAATATTTCGAGGTGTTACATAAATTCTGGCCCAATCAAACTTATAATACCCCCAACACATAGTGTTGTAGGGTATAAAAACATTAAGTTCGGCCGGGCCAAACTTTTAATACCCTCCACCTTTAGGTAAAAGAGACATTTAAAGAAATGTGCCAAAAACCATTAAAATGCCGAATACCGGGAGGTACCGTTATATGGGGGCTACACCAAAACGTGGACCTGTAATTACAATGTTTCGCCACACGAACTAGGACCCATTATGACCCACAAATACCAATTTTTAGACAAATCAGTGAAAAAATGTGGCAAAAAAAACTAAAATACCGAATATCGGGAGGTACCTTTATATGGGGGCTATACCACAAAGTGGACCTATACATGCAATGTTTTGCCACACGCTCAGGGACCCGTTATGACCTACAAATACCAATTTCCAGACAAATCCGTGAAAAAATGTGGCATAAATCATCAAAATACCGAATATCGGGAGGTAACGTTATATGGGGGCTATATCAAATCATGGACCCATGCATGCAATGTTTCGCCACCGAAGCTGGAACCATTTATACCCCATTATGACCAACAAATACCAATTTTCAGACAAATCCGTGGAAAAATGTGGCAAAAAAAACTAAAATACCGAATATCGGGAGGTACCTTTATAAGGGGGCTATACCACAACGTAGACCTATACCAATACCAATTTCCAGACAAATCCGTAAAAAAAATGTAGCATAAATCCTCAAAATACCGAATATCGGGAGGTACCGTTATATGGGGACTATACCAGAACGTGGACCGATATATCTCATTTTCAATACCAACCATCCTAGACACAATGCAAATAGCTCTGCTAAATTTTGGCGCTCTACGTCAAATAATGTGGGCTGTATCGTGATTTCAACAGACAGACAGACGGACATCATTAAATCGACTTAGAATTTTATGCTGATTATGAATATATATACTTTATGGGGTCTAAGACGAATATTTAAGGATGTTACAAACGGAATGACAATGTTAATATACCCTCCTTTCCAAGGTGGAGGGTATAAAAAATTCGGTGAATAATTTCGCTAAAATCATCAAAATACCGAATATAGGGAGGTGCCGTTATATGGCTATACGAAGACGTAAACTTGCACAGGCAATTTTCTGACATAGACTGTAGTATCCATTACGCACTTCAAATACGAACTTCAATGGACCTGTACATACAGTTTTCCCTCTTAGGCTGTACTATCCATTACGAATTTCAAATACCAAATATGAAACAATTTCGATGAATTATGTAGCTAAAATCATCAAAATGCCGAATATAAGAAAGTTTTCTGTCATAGGTTGTAGTATCTATTACGAGCTTCAAATACGAAGACGTGGACCAGCACAGGCAATTTTCTGTCTTAGGCTGTAGTATCCGTTACGTACTTCAAATACCAAATTTGAAACAATTCCGGTGAATTAAAATGCTAAAATCATTAAAATACCGAATATCGGGAGGTACCTTTATATGGGGGCTATGCGAAGGCGTGGACCCACATTTTTACCCATACCCATTTTCAATACCAAAAGTCCTGCAGACATAATATACATTTGAGTAAAATTTAATCAACCTTTTTCATTTCGTTCGAAAGCTAGAATGATTTTCACAGACGGATACACGGACAGGACACCAAATCGACATAGAATTTTATGCTGATCAAGAATATATATACTTTGTGGAGTCTAAGATGTATATTTCGAGGTGTTACAAACGGAATGACAAACGTAATATACCCTCCATACTATGGTGAAGGGTATAAAAACGGGGTTATTGTCACTTCGGTAGATTTGATTAACATGTTAATATCCCAGTGTGGTACAAAATTACTAAAACTTATTAATACCTATTAACTAATATTTCTTAAAATATTTTATATAATTCATAATGATGGTTTCTTAAAATTTCCGATTTCTGATCAAAAAAAATATTCAATGTATTCTTAAAAATAAAAATACGCAGTAATTTTGTCCAAGAAGTGCATTTACAATGTATGATACTTGATTTGTTTGCGTGGTTTAGAATTCCTATGATTTCGGGTATAAAAATCTGCAGAAACACTATTTTAGGACTTTATACCAATAGCAAATGTAAAGAAAATGCTAACTGTAAATTTATTTATTTCATTTTCTTTTAAATTTTTTACTCCCAATGATCTCATTCTAAACGATTTTTTTATTTATCCAAAAATGATTTTAAAAGCGCAAAATACGACAAAGAATTGGACACCACCTGAAACATCAGAAACAATTCAAAATATATTCATATACTAATAATCAAAAATTCTTAATACCTTATTAAAACTTTGCAGGGACAAGACCGTAAACTGCATGACACTCAGCTGAACAGGCCGATTACTACGCATTATCATGAACATTAATTTCAGTTTAAAATTACGATTCGCTGGAATGTAACTCAAATCTTTCCAAAGTGGCAGATTCCGATTCAATTCCTGCAGTTCCATAATATCCGGATATAACAGAAGTGGCGAATTCTTAGATAAATAACCACCTTCCCAATTGCAGGCAAATAAATAGTGGGCTGTATCGGTTGACTGTATCGGAGGAGAGATTATTTTAAATTCAAATTTAATTATAAATCCTGTGATCCTACTTGCCTGGGTTATCAGTAAATTTCCCAATTTACATACTATAAATAATTGCCCGGTTACGGCCATGAAGAACATAAAGAATCGCATGAAATCGCCAAAGGATTTTAGGCCAGCCTTAATTTTGGAAGACATTTTAATAAAATAAATCCGACATCAAAGCAAATCGAATTAAGCACTTACTATCATAAACTGAAAGCCCACGAAGCAGATTAAAAATGTTGAGGTGCCATAATTGGCAAATAATGGAAATGACATGAACTTCTCCAATTCCTTGCAAAATCTAAGAATAATAAAATTGAATTAAATCAACGAACACATACGTACATACATAGTTTATTTAAAATTCTTACGCAATGATATCCTTGTGTCGCTTGGCTATGCCATGCAAACGTTTCGCATACATTTCCTGTAAATAATTCAATTTTACGCCATTCTCTGCCGCCCCAGCGCCATATCGTCGCAGCCACTCGGCATGACACTCCGGTATGAGACGGGCAATATCAGCGTGCAAAATCTCGAATTGTCCAACGACGAAACTAATGAAATATGCCAATATGGCATCCATGGCATAGAAGAGAGACACAGCAATATAGCCGGCATATGACAGGAAGATATAGGTGAAAATATAAGCCCAATGTGTCTGGGTGTCATAGGGAAACACAGTGGGGAAAGGCAAAGGCTTATCGTTAGAATCTGGCGATTTCCCTTGCGTTAGGTTGAATATTATGGGGAACAACAGATAGAGTACCAAACATATCCACAGCGATAGGGATATGTAAAATGTGGGTTTGGTACGGCGCACAGCCCGCTCGTATGCCTTGGGATGGGCTTCGCTGAAAATGAAAACAATAAAAAGAAGTTAGAAAGTTTCAGTCGGTATTCTGACAGATTCATGATCTTAGCATTTGACCTATTATTCCAATGTTGGTAGAAATATGGCAATGTGCGAACTTTGAATAATTTCATATTTTTCGAAAGTGTTGACTTTTTTGTGAGGATTTCAGCCCTACTCCTTCACCCTATACCTAATTTAGTACCATTTAGTGTTTTACAAATATGTTAGGCATTTGCAAAGTCACACCAAATTTCAATTCCAGATACCAGCAGAGACTTCAATATCAAATTTCAGGATTGCGGCTCTATTTATTCTCCAAATACTAAACTTAGAACTTTTTGGAACTTTTCGAATATTCAGCTGAAAAAGTGCATCTTCGGTTGGCCACCAGAACTCAAGCGCCGGCCATGGTGATGGTGTGGGCCGCCATAACAGTCGCTCTCCGCTCGTATTAATCGATCGTGGCATCAGAATAAATGCCGAATATTATCGCGAAAATATTCTGGAGGGAGTATTAAAGCCTTGGGCGTTTGAAGGCCATAATTGGTGGTAAAGGTGATCAATTAGAACAAATCTAAACTTATTCTAAAATTTGATGCCATTTCCGAATTTTTTTGCTTTCATTCAATAAAATTAAGAAAACGTAAAAATTATAGCGTTTGACTTTGTTGCAGTTTTTTATCTCACCCTGTCCAGGATACACATAAACAGCAACTCTAATATCAAATTTTAGATTAGCACAATCTGTAAACTACTTTACTTTTCGAACCATTATAGTAGACATTTCCAAGAACCAACTCCATATCTCAATTTCAGATACCAACAAAGACCTCAATATTAACTTTGGGGATTGCAGCTCTATATCTTTACCTAATAGTAAAATTCAGTACTTTTCGTTCGCATTACCAGAACCTACTCCCCTTATCCAGATTACACATGAACAGTGACCCTAACACCGAATTTCAGATTTCAAGCACTATCTGTTCACCAAAGTCCAAAATATTATTACTATTTAGCACTTTTCGTCCACTTGTAATACACGCTTCCAAACTTGTAGTACACATATCTTGCTCTTGTAGTACAACTTCCAAAACCACCTCCATATCTCAATTGCGGATACCAACAGAGACCTCAAAATCAAATTTTAGTATTCCAGGCCAATCCATTCACACAATACTAATTTTAGTACCATTTAGTACTTTCTTACAAATATAGGAAGCATTTCATTAATCATAATATCAAATTTCAGAATTTAAGCTTTATCCCTTGACCCAATACCAAATATTGTACGATTTAGTACTTTACAGGGTGAGATAAAAAAATCTGCAACAAAGTCAAACGCCATAATTTGTTCATTATACCCTACAACACTATGTGTTGGGGGTATTATAAGTTTGATTGAGCCAGAATTTATGTAACACCTCGAAATATTGATTTCCCACATAGGAAAGTATATATGGATCTTCCTAGCTCGCCGAGCTGAGTCGATCTAGCTATGTATGTCCATCCGTCCGTCTGTCCGTCTGTCCATGTTAATTTGTAATCACTCTACAGGTCGCAATTATGGTCCGATCTTCACGAAATTTAGAATGTAGGTGGGGCTTGGACCAGAATAGAACCCTATTGCTTTTGGAGATGATCGCCAAATGTTTAGGGGTTGAAATGGACCAAATACTGAAAAAATGTCGGATTTTGCAGGTCGCAATTATAGACCAATCGACGCGGAATTTCGCATGTAGCTGGAGTTTAGGGAGGGGAAGAAGCCTACCAATTTGGGTGGTCATCGGATAATATTTAGCGGGTAAAATAGACCATATCTTTTTTATTGAAAAAATTCAAAAATTTTCATCAAACCGCGAATATTTTAAATCCCGGCGAAATCATAAAGCCATGACAAGGTTACTTCTGATCTTTACATTGATGTTAACATCCATCAAATCGGATATATAGCAAAATATGTGCGATATATATGTCTTTCAAAGAAGATATGCTTGAAAGATCTCTTATATGTCGAGAACGGCAGAACTGATTTCGACAGTCCTCATTAATTCAGAATGGCCCCTTGGCAGGAAAGAAAAAACGTCTAAAAATCGCATAAAAATATCTCTCTAAAGATGAAAATATTGATTTTGTAAAATTTTCTAATATTTTTTCAATGTTGTCATATTTTTGGCATATTTTCATTTTGAATTAAACATTTGGTAATATTTCTACAGCTAACAAAAGTAAGTAGTTAGGATATCAGGATATCATATACAGATGGCATTTATGGCCCGATCCTTACGAAATTTTGCATGGGGATAAGATGAGGGTCAGAATAGGAGCCTACTCTTTTTGGAGATGATCGCCATATATTTAGGGGTTGAAATGGACCAAAAAACTGCAAAATTGTCGGCAGGTCGTAATTATCGCCCGATCCTCACGCACATTTGAATGGGGGTTACCAGACATTGCAAAAGCCAAATAGTTTTGGGTGGCCATCCAAAAATATTCAATGTGTGAAATAGTTTGCCAACTTTTGTAGACAAAATACGAAAATGTCCATTCCAGTGACTTTTTGGAGAATTCACAAATACAGGAAAGACGCACTTCTGACTATTTCCTTGAAGAATATAGTCAAATGTCTGTATCTCATATAGATGCGTTTCAGTCAAAACCCAATAATAAATGTTAATCTTTTGCCACTTCTGAGAGATTATAGGTCTTTGGGAAATATTGGTTCCAGATCTAGGAAGACCATTTAAGTGCAACATCTACCAATACATTGGAAATGAGCAAATGAGTTTAAGTTGTTATTTTTCGAAAATTAGAAAACGTTTTCTTTAATTATTTGTCTCAATATCTTGTGGAATTCTGTCGAGTACTTCGCCCATATAAACTGTATGGTTTATTATAGTGTTGTAGGGTATTCAACGGTCGGCCCGCTCGACTGTAGCCTTTGCTTACTTGTTTTTTTCTAAATTTTACTGAATGAAAGCTAAAAATATCGGAAATAGCATCAAAATTTTAGAATAAGTTTAGATTTGTTCGAATTGGTCATCTTTGGCAACATCAAACGGCCAAGAAACCGTCACATGCTGCCCGAACGTTGCTTTGGGGTATTTTGGCCCATTCCCGCCGAAGCGCTTGCTTAAGTTGATCGACACTTTGGTGTTTTTAGTGCCAACCTTGCTTTCCAAAATACTCCAGACACAATAGTCCAACGGATTGGTATCCGGAGATTTTGGTGGCCATTGTGCGCTGGAAATGAAGCGATTAATCTCATTTTGTAACCATTTTTGGGTGGCGCGTGCTGAGTCCTGTTGGAATGTGCAAGGTCTGCGGCTAAAATGTTTGCGTGCCCAAGGCTTTAATACACCCTCTAGAATATTTTCGCTATAACATTCGGCATTTATTCAAATGCCACGGTCCATTAATACGAGCGGAGAGCGACAATTGGCTGTTATGGCGGCCCACACCATCACCATGCTCGGCACTTGGGTTCTGATGGGCAACCGAAGGTGCACATTTTCAGCTGACCTCTTTGGCAAGTAAACACGATCATTTTGTTTCTATACAAACTGCTGGACAACGAATGTTTTCACTTCGGAGAAAACCAAATTCGGCAGTTCACCACTTTCGACCAAGCGAATCAACCTTTTAGCTCTTTTGAGTCTATTTTCTTCCTGTAGCGGTATCAGTTCTTGCACTTTTTGGAATTTCAATGACTTTACCCCGAGCTTATTTTTTAATATTTGCCGAATGGAATATTTCGATATGTTCAGCTCACGTGCGATTTTTCGGCCACTGCGACGGGGGTTTCGATCAAGTCGCTTCTTTACTTTTCAAACCATTTCTGCTGATGTTGCTGTTTCCTTCCGTCCACTTCCTTGACGTCGGGCAACGCTACCATTACAACGGTAACGAACGATGGTACGAGACACTAAAGATTTATTCACATTTAAATGCTGGAGTGCTCTAACAATAGCCGCTTGTGGTTTTCCAGCCAAATATAAAGATATCACACTAGCACGCTTGAATTCCATCACGAATAACTTTTTTTTCTGGAAAATTCTCAGCAAAATGCTTTTGTACGCTGCTAAACAATATAATGAGCTATCACTGGAATAATTTTAATAGCTGTCGGACGAGTGGCTTAGAAATTACAGTAGTCTGTAGTTGGTTGCAGTTTTTTCATCTCACCCTGTATTTCTTCGTCCGACTTACCTTTTATTGGGCTCCAGACCTGTAGAATTAGCGCAAATGGTATAGAATTTGGCACTTATGGCCAAATTGAGTCTAGAAATAAGTGTGGCCGATTTGGTGAAAATCGGTTTAGATATAGCTATAGCTCTCATATATATTTTTCATCCGATTTGTTATATTTGTTCTCCACAGCCGTAATATACAATCTGTAACAACGATATTCGGGGAAATATATCAAATAAAATTCAGAAATATCTTTGCCAAATTTTATCGAGATCGGATCAGATTTGGATATAGCTCCCATGTATATCTTTATCCGATTTCAAGTTATTTGTGCACCAAATCGGTAATACAAGCCCGATCGGAAAAGGCACAAATGTCTCGGAAAGTTTGAATATAAATATTAAATCGATAATCGATAAGGCACGAATTATTGAATATTTTAAAATGGTCATAGCTCCTTAAATATTGAGTTTTTAGCTATTATTTGTGATCACTTTTTCAGGCATGAATTAAAGAATATTTTAAATGGTCATAACTCCTTAAATATTGAGTTTTCAGTGTTTTTAGCTATTATTTGCGATCACTTTTAAAAGGCATGAATTATTGAATATTTTAAAATGGCCGTAACTCCTTAAATAATGAGTTTTCGCCGTTTTTAGCTATTATTTGTGATCACTTTTTAAGGCATGAACTATTGAATATTTTAAAATGGCCATAACTATTGAATGGCCATTATTATTGAATATTTTTAAATGGTCATAACGCCTTAAATATCGATTCAAAGGAGGATATTCCCCTCATATACTGGTTACTTTGGACTTCAAATTATATCTATAATAATAGTTGATATCATAAAATTCTCGCAAATTCCGGATAAAAACCTTTATTTGTTATCTGAAGCTCTAATAAAATTTCAAAGTCGTATAGGGTCCCGTCCGACTTTGAGACTTTTTTATTTGTTACATACTCGTAAAGGGTATCCCGACTAACAAGCAATTTTAAAAATTCAGTGAAGCACAGATATTTTAAAAAATCGGAAATGCGATACTCCCAGTCATTTTGGAAATATCTAATAACATGTAGCTGTATTATTATACCCTACACCACAAGTTGGTCAGGGTATTATGTCTTTGTACATTTGTTTGTAACAGGCAAAAGGAAACGAGATAGACCAATAGTTCCTTTTGATGATCTGCATAGAATCACATTCTGAGTCGATTTATGCATGTCCGTCCGTCCGTCTGTCTGACCATGTATTTTTGTAAACAATCCAGATAAAATTTTGTACAGATCATTTGTTTGGCCCAAGGACGAACCCTATTGAAATTGGAGAGAATCGGTCAAAATTTAGATATAGCGCCCACATATATCTTCGTCCGATTTGCTTTTTATTGTGCACCAAACGTGTAATATCAGCCCGAATTGTATGGAATTTTGCAATACACCCAAATTAAGCCTGAAAATATTTGTGCCAAATTTGATCGAAATCGGTTCAGATTTGGATATAGCTCCCATATATAACTTCGTCCGATTTACGTTTTATTGTGCATCAAACGTCTAATATTTGTCCAAATGGGATGGAATTTGGCACTTACGACCGAATTGAGTCTAGAAGGTAGTGTGTCAAATTTGGTGAAGATCGGTTCAGATATAGCTATATTATTCATCCGATTTGTTATATTTGTTACCCACAACCGTTATAAGCACTCCGTAACAACGATATTCAGGGAAATATATCAAATACAGCTCGGAAATATTTTTGCCAAATTTTATAGAGATCGGTTCAGATTTGGATATAACTCCCATATATATTTTTATCCGATTTCAAATTAATTGTGCACCAAATGGCCAATACAATTCCGAATTTCGGCATATTTAGTTCTTTGAACTTTAAATTATAATTATAATCATAGCGTGTATGATTGTATTCTCCCATAAAAAAACTTTTAATTGTTATGTGGAGCTCTACTAAATTAGCAAACAAACACCTAAAATGGTAAAGACTAGACAAAATGCATTTTGAGCAAAGGGTTTGTGTCTACAATACATAGAGTAACAGCTCATGGCAGAGACATGTTAATATAAAAACCACAATTACAGAAACAAATAACAAATAAATATTTGAAAATCCAAAATTTTGGTTTCAAATTCTATTCCATGGACCTTTTCGAAAATTTGCACATTACCTTAGCGGTTTAAACCAGTCAACATTGGTAACTATGTTGTCATGATATCGTAACAACAGAGTTATTTTCACAGGGTTACCATATCTTGACCCTGTCTTGTCCTATCTTTACACTTCTATGCCTTTGTAGCAAAGTGGTGTAGGGTATCATAAAGTCGGCCCCGCCCGACTTTAAGACTTTCTTTACTGGTTTTTAACTATCATACAAATAAACTCACCTGTCAATCCATATCTTTTCAGCAAACATGGTTAGGAGTCGCTTCATCCGAGATATGTCACCACGGAAATAGAGCAATCGTAGGCTTACCATTAAAGCAATCATAATCAGGCACATATTTCCAACAACTTTTCCCAAATCGGCACTATTTTCGTAGACATACATGCACTCGGCATATAGGGTGAAATTCAAAGAGAATATCACCTGACAACTCCAAAGCGTATACAAGGCATTACAGATGCGATAGGATAAACTCTTCGGGTCACCATCGGTAGGCCAGCAACCGTTAATTATGAGATGTACATAAAAATCCGACACAAATGAAAATTTCTCATCGAATGGACAATTTGGTTTGTACCAAAAACCCATTTCGATGCGTTTGTTTATTGAACTTTAGCTGATACAAGTCACTTTTTATGTGACGTCTTTGGTGCGGACATAAAACATTTTATACCTTAAAAATCTCTAATTATGTTAAGTAAATAATTTATTTCAATGAAAAACAAACAATGCATTTAATGATTAATAGTTTTTAGTTTTGATATTTGATATTTAGATATTTGTTTGCTTTTATTTTGTGTTTTTTTTTTTTTTTTTTCTTCTAATATATCACTGTAATTATGTAGTATGAATAATTTATCATAATTAAAATATTGAAAATGAAAAATCAAAACATATTTTAATTACATCCGCAGTCCATAAATAGAAATATCCTTTTAAGGACTAATGAAAAATTAATTAGCTCACTGTGAGCGCCTTTATGCGTGAGCATAAAATAAAATCTAAAGAAACATTTAATTGTAAACATATCTAAACGATGAATAATTTAGAAGGTATTTTATTCCTTTTGTAAATTCTAAATGGCTTCGGCACAGTGGCTCGAAATAATTTTGATATGCTGTAAACAAGTTGAGGGGCGTATTCATGTATTCATATTTCATTATACCCTACAACACTACGTGTTGGGGGTATTATAAGTTTGATTGGGCCAAAAATTATGTAACACCACGAAATATTGATTTCCCACATAGGAAAGTATATATGGATCTTCCTAGCTCGCCGAGCTGAGTCGATCTAGCTATGTATGTCCGTCCGTCCGTCTGTCCATGTTAATTTGTAATCACTATACAGGTCGCAATTATGGCCCGATCTTCACGAAATTTATAATGGAGGTGGGGATAGGGTCAGAATAGAACCCTATTTCTTTTGGGGATGATCGCATAATATTTAGGTGTTGAAATGGACCAAAAACTGAAAAAAATAAAAGTTAGCATGGGGCTAGAGCTTATGGCTGGGCAGAAGCCTTCAAATTTTGATGGTCATCGGGTAATATTTAGTGGGTGAAATAGGCCACAACATTTGTGTTAAATAAAAGTCAAATTTTCCATTAAACCGCGAATATTTTTAATCCTGGCGAAATCACAAATAGACGAACAGGTCAATTCTGACCGTTGCGTAGATGCCGATAGTAACTATATCGGATAAATATAGCGAAATATATACAATGTATTTAGAATGTATGTATAATGTATTTAGACCGATTTCGACAGATTTTGTCAATTCAGAATGCCCTCTTAACATAAAAGTATAAGATCAAAAAAAAATCGCATAAAAATATGCCAATAATGATGTTGATAAAGATTTTGTAATATTTTGTGACATTTTTTAATTTTTTCATATTTTTTATCGCATGCGATTTTTTCAATTTAACTTATAATTTTTTGTAATATTCTTTCACCTTACAACACAGGTTGGGGATATTATATAGGTATTGCAAATATCGTCCGATCCTCACAAAAATTTTCACAAGAGTTGGGTTGGGCTCAGAAGGGCTAGGTCTACTGTTTTCAAAGATGTCAGCAATATATTAGGGGTTGAAATGGACCAACAACTAAGAATTTTCCTGATTTTGCAGCCATTATAAAGGTCATAATCCTAATTTCAAAAGAGAAATCTTCCAATATGGATTTGGACAAAAGGGGGCTTTTAACATATGTAGTGTTGTATAATTTTTGTTGGATGATAATTTTTGTCAAAATTATTAAAATTCTTTAAATCGGGTACAAAAAATGGCTAATGTTGACAATGTTTGACACAACAACTTTTAACTGTATCCCAAAAACGAATTTTCAATATCAGCAAAATCAATAGAAAAACTAGTAAGCAAAGGCTATAGTCGTACAGGGCCGACCATTCGATACCCTACAACACTACAATATGCTCGAAGTCCCCTTATGTCCAAATTTGTTTTTCAAAATAATGTCAAAGAGCCCTGCCCAGATGTTACCCTTAGGTTTTTGCCTCCATTTAAACCCCTAAATGTACATCTTAAAAACAATAGGCTTTAATTCTGACCTTACCCCATTCAAAATTTCGTGAGAATCGGACGAAAATTGCGACATATATATAATACCCTCAAAATGTAATCAAAATCAAAAATTTAGAAAATTTACAATTTAGTCAAGTCAAATTGAAAATATCGCATGCGATAAAAAATATAAAAAAAATGGAACAAAAAATTTCACTTTTAATTTGTATATTTTCCCGTGATTTTCTTAGATATTATTCTTTTCTGGCAAGAGACCATTCCGAATTGATTAGAATTGTGAAATTTGACTTATAAGCAGAATTAATAACATCTATTTCTTTGGCATACAGGGTGATATAAAAATTGCAACCAACTTTAGACCCTTGTCATTTCTAAGCCACTCGTCCGACAGCTGTTAAAATTATTCCTGTGACAGATCATTATCTTTTTTACAAGCGTACAAAAGCATTTTGGTGAGAATTTTCCAGAAAAACAGTTATTCGTGATGGAATTCAAGCGTGATAGGGTGATTTCTTTATATTTGGATAGAAAACCACAAGTGGCTATTGTTAGAGCACTTCAGCATTTTAATGTGAATACAGCTTTTGTGTATCGTAACATCGCTTGTTACCGTGATACTGGTAGCGTAGCCCGACGTCAAGTATGTGGACGGAAAAAAACAACAACATCAGCAGAAATGGTTCGAAAATAAAGAAGCGACTTGGTCGAAACCCGGGTCGCAGTGACCGTGAGCTGAACATATCGCAATATTCCATTCGGCAAATATTGAAAACTGAGCTCGGGAGCAAGAACTTACACCGCAACAGAAAGAAATAGACACAAAAGAGCTAAAGAGTTGCTTCGTTTGGCCGAAAGTGGTTTTCTCCGATGAGAAAAAAAATTCGTTGTCCAGCTGTTTGTAAGCAAACAAAAGGATCGTGTTTACTTCCCAAAAAGGTTAGCTGAAAATGTGCACATTCTGTTGGCCACCAGAACTCAAGCACTGGCCATGGTGATGGCGTGGGCCGCCATAACAGCAGATGGTCGCTCTCCGCTCGTATTAATCGACCGTGGCATCAGAATAAATGCCGAATATTATCGCGAAAATATTCTGGAGGGTGTATCAAAGCCGCGAATGGGCCAAAATACCGCTGAGCACCATTCGGGCAGCGTGTGATGTTTTCATTGGCCGTTTGAAGGTCATAATTCGTGGCAAAGGTGACCAATACGAACAAATCTAAACTTATTCTAAAATTTGATGCTATTTCCGATATTTTTTGCTTTCATTCAACAAAATTAAAACCAGTAAAAAAGTCTTAAAGTCGGGCGGGCCGACTTTATGATACCCTACACCACTTTGCTAATTTAGTAGGGCTCCGCATAACAATTAAAGGTGTTTATGGGAGAATTCAATCATAAACGCTATGATTATAATTATAATTTAAAGTTCAAGTGACTAAACATGCCGAAGCATGTGTATCTTTTAAATTCGGACTTGTATTGCCCATTTGGTGCACAATTAATTTGAAATCGGATAAAAATATATATGGGAGCTATATCCAAATCGGAACCGATCCCGATTAAATTTGGCAAAGATATTTTTGAGCTAAATTTGATATATTTCCCTGAATATCGTTGTTACGGAGTGCATATTACGGCTGTGGGTAACAAATACTATAAATCGGATGAACAATATGTATGGGAGCTATAGCTATATCTGAACCGATCTTTACCAAATTTGACATACCAGCTTCTGGACTCAATTCGGTCGTTAGTGCCAAATTTCATCCCATTTGGACAAATATTAGACGTTTGGTGCACAATAGAAAAGTAAATCGGACGAAGTTATATATGGGAGCTATATGCAAATCTGAACCGATCTCGATAAAATTTGGCAAATGTATTTCTGAGCTGTATTTGATATATTTCCCCAAATATTTTTGTTGCAGAGTGCATATTACGGCCGCGGAGGACAAAAATAAGAAATCGGATGAACAATATATATGGGAGCTATAGCTATATCTGAACCGATTTCGATTAAATTTGGGTCAATTATTTTGAGGTACAATCTGATCGTACGTGCAAAATTCCATACTATTCGGACTGATATTACACGTTTGGTGCACAATAAAAGGCAAATCGGGCGAAGATATATATGGGAGCTATATCTAAATTTTGACCGATTATCTCCAATTTCAATAGGGTTCGTCCTTGGGCCAAACAAATGATTTGTACAAAATTTCATCTGGATAGGGCAATAAATGCGAACTGTACTTTGCTTACAAAAATACATGGACAGACGGACGGACGGACATGCATAAATCGACTCAGAATGTGATTCTATGCAGATCATCAAAAGGGACTATGGGTCTATCTCGTTTCCTTTTGCCTGTTACAAACAAATGCACAAAGACATAATACCCTTACCACTATGTGGTGTAGGGTATAAAAAGTGTAAAAATCATGGCGTTTGACTTTGTTGCAGTTTTTTATCTCACCCTGTAAAAACAAAAATATTGTCTTCCCACCTTATTCCATGTAATTTTTCAAGAATTGTATTGAAATATCAGTTCTGTTACATTCATATTTAAATTTTAGACCTTAGAATATTTATTGCGACCAGAAATGCTTACTCATAAAATCGGTTTTATTAATTTACATCTTAATGGCAACACTATGATTTGTATTTGGTACGTCTTGATAGTTGAAATTTATTTTTTTAGAAACCTACTTTGCATTTCCTATTCTCCTCTCAACTAAGAAAGTTAAAGTAAAACTTAAAATATAAGAGAATAATTATATCTTTAAAGGTAAAATATCAGAAAAGCTTAATTGTAATACTCAAACACAATTTTTTTTTTTTTTTTTTTTTTTGAATAAGAAATCATAAGATCTTGAAATAAATAAAAATATAAAAACCAAAAGTTAAAAAAAGTGCAAATTTACTGCAAAAGTGTTTAATAAAACTACACGCCGACGGGGTTAAGCTAACAATGAAATACGCACTCCTAATTATTGCATTGGTGACAACGTTGTTAAAAAGAACATTGTCATGAATTTG